CAACTAAAGTGGGTCATACCACCAAGCGTCTATATTTCAATAAGTCAAAGGAATCATCCTAAGCTACCTTAGACTGTTTCTAGCATAATCACGTCATTCATGTAACTCAAATAATCAAGGAAACATATTATACAAAATATTAAGATATAGATTCTCAAAGTCTTCAACTTGAAATCTAAAACACGAAAACAACTAAAGTGGATCATGCCACCTAACGTCTATGTTCTAATGAATTTATAGGATCATTCCTAAGTTACATTTGAACATTAAAACACAAATCACAATATCGATGCAATTTAACCAACATTGGAACTTCTAATACAACGCATAAAACATGATTCCTCTAAGTTAACATCTTGAAACTCAAACGGGAAATCAATTAAAGAATAACAAGTTACGATATCATCTAGTTATCAACTTGAAACAAAATGTGAAATCAACCAAAGTGGATACTTGGACATCACACCGGATCAGACCGACACCATAGTTACTTTAGGGTTATTAGCCCATGGGTAACCTCCCTATGTGTGCACTAGACTGTAGAGGGACAATCCCCCGTACTAGAACCATGTCCTAGCCATAGTCAAACAACGACATCCCAAGTTTCCAAAATCAACAAGTTAAGCAACAACATGTATATCAACATGTATATACAAGATAATCAACTATCTACCATGCACAACCGAATTTGAAAACACATACAATACATACTCTAAGTCAACAACTACTAAGGCATGACAAATGTCGAATCTTCAGTGTGTAATTCATTACACGCTATAACAATATATCTCTACATTGAAATCATAAACTCATGAATCTAATGCAAGTCCAAAATCATGATTTAAACATATAACCAATGTCAAATACATGATTAAATCATTAACGCTATAGAAACAGAAATTAATTAAATAAACTAATTAATTTCTCTAAATTTCAAATCTCAATCAAATGATCCGTAATTAACACATGTTAAATAGCATTGCATGGCCATTACATACATCCAGTCAAAATCTTAATTAAGCCAATAGAACAATAAAAGTAGAATTTAATTAAATCATGATAATTGAATCTCTAACTTCTAAAACAACTTCAAATGATCCCAAATTAATATATGGTAGTAAACAAGTCCTAGTCATTTCAAACATCAAGTTTAAAACTCAATTAAGCCAATGGAACCCTTAAATCGATTTTAATTAATTCATTTAATTAAAATCCCTAGATTTTAATACACATCCAAATGCTCCAAAATTAAAGTATGTTAAAGAGCGTGCCAAGACTTAATTTAATAGCCTATCACAAGTTAATTTCATGCAAGGTACGGCCATGGGAATTAATCTTTCACAAAAGAAAAATATTAAATAAAAATTACAATTCTTATTTAAATGACCCAATTTTAATATATATCAACAACCATACCAAGGCCAAATTTACTAGCATGCTATACTTTAATTCTAAGTTATACACATCCTTGAGAATTAAATCCTATACAAGGAAAATAATTAAATTAAATTCTATGATTAATACAAAACATGCATACAAGTGGTATAAGCTTATAAAATCATCAACACAACATAAATAAAAGCCTAAGACATCCCCTACCTCAATTTGAGATGAAAATCTCAAAAGCCACCAAAATAAAACGGCTCTGAATCCGACAATACTTCGAGGTTTTATCGGGGACAACGTCATGAACATTAAACTCCAAAGAGGACCTACCAAAATCCTAACTTGATCTCAAACCCGAACTCAAAAATTGGCAAAAAATGGGTTCAAATAAGGGGTAAAGATGCGCATTGTCAAGACAAACACAAAACGTAAAGGCACTATAACTTTTTAACAAAGGAAAAGAGGTTTAATTGAGTGAAGAAGGGTGTCAGCCCCCCTTGGGCTGCTATGGGAGCTGCTGGTCCTGCATGACGATGGGAGAAGATGACTTTTTTATTTTATAACCCCCTATTTATAGGAAAACCCTAAAAGTGCCCTGAAATGGGCCCGCCGGGTCCGGAATAGTGGAATTTGAGCAGACGCGCTCAACCAGCAAAACTCCATGAATGAAAAAGAACCAAAATGAAAAACTATGAACAACCGAAGAAATGGCGTCAAAAATTGAGTCCCGAGCAGAGAGATATGCCCAGAACAAGTTCAGCGGCAACCGGAGCCAAAAACCCTCAAACTGGAGAAAAACGACCAGAAGGACATTCTAAGAGTACGCAACATGATGAAATGTGAAAATGAATCCCATACGAGTTTTTAGCCTCAAAACGACGCATTTTTGCAATAACTTTCATTAATTGCACAATGACCCCTCAAAAAAGTGAAAACTGCACTAATAACCCAGAATAAAAATATCTTCCAAAAATATTTTCTTAAAAACCCCTAAAATAAAATACCGTCAAAAGATATTTCTGAAAAACACCCCCAGAAAATAAAAAATTTTTGAAAAACTATGCATCCATACCCCTATGGACACCGGGAGCAACTAGAGTACTTTACTGTAAAAGTAAAGATATGTATTTCGTGGAAACCACTTAGAATGAAGATACGTGAAGTCAAAAACAAACTCCAAGCGTAGAAAGTGAGGTTGTGCTAAAAAGTGACAAACGGGGGAAAGACAAAATAGGGAAAAGGACGAAAAGTGAATAGTGTTCAAAAAGTGAAAATATGGAAATGACCCGATCCTAAAAGGAAGTTGTCAATCCAAGGGAAAGAGTCTCAGAAACCATTTCTGAGCACTCAAGACGACACTAAGTGTCGAGAAACAGAACTCGAAAAAGAAAATTAAAAGAAAAAAATTTATCCGTATAATTTGAGAAAAAAGAGAGGGAGGAAAATGACAGGGTCATTACACAAACGGAAAAACTCTATGAACAAAAAAAAAAACAATATAAGAAAAGATGACCAACGAAATAAACAGCGTCGAAAATTGAGTCCCGAGTAAAGATTCATCAAGCTAATCCAAGCATGTATCACATCCCCATCCTTCACTGTTGCTATTAATGGAGAATTCAAGGGGTTTTTCAAAGGGAAAAGAGGCTTAAGACAAGGTGATTCTATTTCCCCATTCCTATTTGTCATTATCATGGATATTTTTACTTCAACTGTTAAGAATATTATCTCCAGAACCCCTAGATTCAGATACCATTAGAGGTGCAAAGAGCTGGGTATCACCCATCTCTCATTTGCAGATGATCTTTTTCTCTTTTGCCATGGTGACATTACATCTGTATCCATCCTAAAATCAGCCTTGGACCACTTCTGCACCATGTCAGGACTCTCCATCAACCTGTCCAAAAGCTCAATATTCCTCTCAGGGGTAGACCCCTCTACTGAAGCAACTATTTTAAGCCTACTAGGAATTAATAAAGGTTATCTCCCTATTAGACACTTGGGGGTTCCTCTAATCTCAACCTGTTTAAGGGCAGCTGACTGTAGGCCTCTAATTGAAAGGATCACCCACAGGATAACTCATTGGACCTCAAGGTCACTATCCTATGCAGGTAGGCTACAATTGATTAAATCTGTCCTAGTCTCCACCCAAGTCTACTGGTCAAGTATATTCATCCTTCCTAAAGGGGTTTTTGATGAGATCAATAGCATACTCATGGCATTCCTTTCGTCTGGCATTGAAATGAAGTCCACAAGTGCCAAGATTGCTTGGATGGATATTTGTAAACCTAAGGAGGCAGGAGGTTTGGATATCCCTAACTTGGTTATTTCAAACCAAGCTGCAGTTATTAGATATATATGGGATCTTCTAACAGACATATCAGATAAAGTTTGGATTAAATGGTGTAAGACTTACCTCATCAAAGGCAAGAACTTGTGGGCTTTAGAAATTCCTCAATCCTGTTCCTGGAGTTGGAAGAAACTCCTTCAACAGAGGCACCATGCAAGAAACTTCATTAAGCACCAAGTTGGAAATGGCATGTCTACTTGTTTCTGGTACGATAATTGGCTTCCTGCTGGACCATTGAGCACTCGTTTCCCTTCCCAAATCCTCACTGCAGCAGATCTAGACCTTTCAACCACAGTAAGCCACTTCATTTCTGGTGGAACTTGGAATTTCCCTGCATCAATCTCTTCGGCAATCCCAGAACTCCTTGCACTTGGAGCTCCAAATAATTCAGGGAATGACAAATTGATTTGGGCAGCCTCACCATTTGGAAGTTTCAGCTACAAGCATACTGCAGCTCTCTTATCACCTTCTTCTCCATCGGTTTCATGGTACAACTTGGTTTGGAGATCTCCAGCAATACCACGAATGAAATTCATTATGTGGCTAGCTGTTCAAGGTCGTCTCCCTACTTTGGATAGAAGATCAATGGCTAGATTTGACAATGTATGTGCTCTGTGCAATGTCAACCCAGAATCTCATTCTCATTTGTTCTTCTCATGTGAGTATACTTCCCCAATTTGGACTTTCTTCAAGGCGAAATGCAAGATTTCTATTACAGCTTTGACATGGCCGAAAATTGCTTCAGTCTTCAGTATCCAGTGGTCTTCTCCATCACCATGGAATCTACTTAGAAAGCTCTGCCTCGCGACTTTGGTATATCACATTTGGGAGGAGAGAAATACCCGTATCTTCCGTGGATCAAAGCTATCACAGAATTCAATTCGGGCAAGGATTTCCCACACCATCACCTCTATGATGAAATTAGGGATCTTCAGGGATTCCATTGCTGCGCATCACATTCTCAAGGACTGGGATCTTTCACCGTCTTGTTGCCGGCCGCCGCCGCGTCCACCTGATTGAAGTTTTGAAGCCTTTAAGCTTCAATCGCTGCAAAAGCCAGTCACCGGATGTGTATCAGACCACCATTAACGGCTAATTAGCCGTTATTTGATGCTCTGTTGTTGATTTCATTGGGCCTAGCCCTTGTATCTGTTAGCCTTTGGGCTTTGGTTTCCATCATGTATGGATTGTTTGGGCCAAAGGCCTCATATGTACAGCTCCTTTAATTATTATAATATTAGCTTCATTCTCCGAAAAAAAAAAGATGAGGAAGCTATCTGTAGTCCTAATACTCTGCTTAGTGGTCATGGCAATGCCAACGGTTTATGGAATTTCTCAAGGGCCCAAAGCAGTTGAAGAGTGGTTCCAAAAGCTCAGTCACAAAACAAAGCTTCACTTCTATTTCCATGACATAGTAAGTGGCAAGAACCCAACTGCAATGCGGGTGGCCCAGTCCAACATTATTGATAAATCGCCCACCTTTTTCGGTCTAGTTATAATGGCCGATGACCCATTGACCGCTGGGCCGGAGCCCACATCGGAGATCATAGGTCGAGCCCAGGGACTCCATGGTGTAGCAGCATTGGATGAGTTCAGTCTGCTTATGACCATGAACTTTCATTTCACAAATGGAAAGTACAACGGTAGCACTCTTGCGGTCCTAGGCCGAAACCAGGTATTAAATTTGTACAGGGAGATGTCCATTGTTGGTGGATCTGGTGTTTTTCGACTGGCTCGTGGAATTGCCACTGCAAAGACACATTCGTTCAATATTACATCGGGTGATGCTATTGTTGAGTATAATGTCATAGTCCTTCATTGTTAGGTCTTGGTTGGATTATGGAACTTCTCAGTATGAAATTTCAATGTCAATTCATCTGACCTCGTCTCATATACGGGCTATGTACATATTTTGTGGCAAAGAAAAAAAAAAAAAAAAAAAAAAAAAAAAAAAAAAAAAAAAAAAGGCTTTGTAGATTAGAAGGTGGTTCATCGGTTAGATTTCATCAATTTTTGTTTGATTTCAAAAAGTCACATAATACTCCTCCAAATGCAGCAAAGTAAGATTAAATGTGTTTACAAATAAAATTCAATTCAAGGATCATAAAAGCATTTGGTCAATAGTACTATCTTCTTTTGGTTTCGTTTTTTTTTTTTTTTGCCCCCCGATATTTAGTACCGTCTTTCATTTCCAATAAAGCTAGAATGTTTTGTTTGATTCTAGTATGCCATGCTTTGGGACTTTACAAAGGAGTTTTCTGACTTTTCATCCATATTGTTTTCTTGTTAGCTTGACTTGGAATGTTAATTTCAAAAGATTTCGAAAGTACATGATAGTAATATTTAAACGGGTTGACATCAAGTGTTTTACAAAAATATAGTTGATTTTGTGAGATATAAAATTTATAATTGACAGATTTTGTTATCAAAACAAGTCCGATCGAATTTTAATTCTAAGTTCAAATTTTGAGTTTGAGATCGAAGCGGAATTGAAGAGTTGTTTTGATCAATAGCTTGATAACTTCAAAAAATGTAAGAACAACATCTTAGGAAGTTTTAGTTAGGATGTAAGGACACTTGCATTGCATGTTTTCAAAAATAAGCATTGTCCAAAATTTTCTAAGTGTAAAAGCCTTTAGTTCAGGTCTGGCCAACTTGAACCAGTTCAAGAGCAGCTGAACCGGTTCAAGTGTTAAAGCTTCGTTTTAAAAATAAATAAATAAAAACCCCTGCCCAACATGAACCGGTTCAAGGGCAGCTGAACCAATTCAAGTTCTGCAGTAGTTTTTGGTAACTTTATTTCCTACTCTGTGTCAACTTCCTATTCTGTATAGACTTTCTTTTACAACCTTATGCACAAAATTGACTTATTTTCCAAGTAAAATGAGGGTTTCAAAACTCTATATAAACATGTTTACACACTCACTGTGATACCCCTAATTTCACACACACACACACACACACACACATTGTGATACCCCTAATTTCACCCCTAATTTCGGAACAAGGGTTGATCATGCCTGTGCACAAAATCAAGAGATATCGGCTAATCAATAATAATAAATAAGTACAGGATACAAGAGGAATAATAATAAAATAAGTAAATAACACTGAAAGGGAAATCTAAATTAATAATTTAATAACCAATCCTTTGGTACAATAATCTCCAATAAATTCCCATACTAATAATAAATCTCCAGAGAACAACTCGGGAATTCATACTATGTGGACCCCTAATAAAAATCCCAAACTGCTAAATAAATAATGAATGTCTATCTCAAAAATAATAAAAACATAATGTAGAGTCCTACGTTGATTACACCGGACGAGTGAAAAAGACCGGCCTTTGCTCTACACGAACTGACTCTACGCCTAGAACTAACAAGGACTTGAAAAGGTAACAACAAAGGTGTGTGAAAACCCACGAATAAGCCCTTCTACTACATCCCAAACAGAGACCCGATATACGATCCATCCTAATCCGACTCATACAATAACTATGTAGGTCAATATACAATAGTATATACACTATAGACTCTCACTGGATCATAAGACAACCTCAACCGGATAGTAGATGACACGAGGTCGCTCGCATATGCCAAAATGTGTGAGAGTGGTTCAAGTAAAGTCTCTTTGGTCAAATTAAAATTTATAAAAACCACCACTACTACTACTAACGTAACAAGAGTGAGTAAGGATCATCCCAAGGGATTTGCAAGGTACTACATAATCGAATTCGGGTTAGTAGGTCGAATGATCAAAGAGAGGCTTGATTGGTTGAATTAAGCTAATGATTTAATTAAAAACATGCAAATTAAAAACAATCTAGAGATTAAGGTGAAGAGAATGAGAGAGAAGTCTTGGGGCATAGAGTTCACCACTAAGCTTCACCTTACTAAACATTTAGCATTTGCCAATTTAGGGGGATTCCATGTTGTAAAACAAGTGTGTGTGCCATATAATTGAAATACAAATCATGGATGACAAAATAAACATACATTGTCTAATCAAGCTAGTGAGTAGTAGAACCTATCAAATTAAGCCATTAACCATTCAATAAATCCACAATTAATGCACACTAAAATCTAAAGAAATGTACTACTTCACTCATAAGCATGGATCATCAAATAACAAGTATGGATTGTCTACTAATCTAAGAATTTAAAGCAACTACATTACAATTATACTAATGATAAGGAAATTAAACTAATTAAACTAATGAGGTAGCACAATCCATCAAGAAATAAGCATAATCCATCAAATAAACTACAAGAGTAGCTAATTAAGTACCATGCCTTGACCATCACTAGATTTACAATTCCAACACACATAGACATGCATTAAACTCATAAAATCTAGTGTAAGCACATGACCATTCATTCTAACATACATAGACATATGAATAGAAATAAAAGATTAATTGGAAGAATTAATCCATACAAATCATGTAGAAACTCAAGATTTATATAATCATAGGTCAAAACATCAATTACAACTAAAATTCCCAATAATACAAAGTACTAAAGTTTAGGAGGCAAGCCTAGGAGCTATTTCTAGCCCCAAGAGAAGGATCTAGCTACTCATGGTTGTTATCATCCAACCCTCAAGGGCTTTTTTCAATGTATGCACTATCTTCTTCCTCTTGCTTTGGTCTCCAAAAACCCTAATCTAGAGAGAGAAAATTATCCAAGAGCTATACTATTTTTAGCTAAAGATGGGAACAAAAGTTGGAACCCTAACAAAATAGTCCAATTTCATTTAAATAGAAGCCTCTTTGAGTAAGCAATAAGTCAGAAAATAGGCATTTCATTGGTTTAATCCCGCAACTACAAAAGTTGGTGGAGTTCGGGCATGCTTGGGAATAAAACAGCTCACTGTCAGTAGGATCTTCGATCGATCGAAGATAGCTTCGATGGATCAAAACTTACTTCGATCGATCGAAGTTGACGTGGCATGAAAAATATGACGGCCCAAGTTTTTTAACTCGGTGCGTCAGTGATGACCCAAAAGTTGACCCGGTAACGGATCCGAAATGCGGAAGCGAAAGATAAAACCAAAGTCTATAGAGATATGAATCATCCCCAAGACACCAATGTGACCTTCCATGAAATCACGGAACTCAAGGAAATAACTGGAAACGGAAGCTAGAATGAAAGGGTTAAATGATACCCTATGGCACCAATGACAACGAAAGGAACAAGATTTAGTTCAAACTAGACAATGTGTGCAATAATATAGCTTAAACAAGATAGACAAGGTCCTGTGGGAACAGACAAACGGAGTTAACCTGTCTAAGCACCAAACCAAACAAAACCTACAAGGCAGCATCATTTCGGTCGTCCGAAATGATGCTTCGGTCGACCGAAGTGAGCCAAGAAAATAAAGGAAGTGAACCTTCATTTCGGTCGACTGAAATGACAAACCGGTCAACCGGTTTGTGGCTCAGAATGGAAAATGGCTATTGGAATTGGACTTTACTGTTCAATTGAAATTCAAAATATATGCCGGTCAACTGAAACAAGCCACTAATCGACTGAAACAAGTCTAAAATGTGAAGAATGAACCTGCTATGCACCAAAAATGAAGAGAAGTTCCTAAGTCTCAAATGGATACCCCATAGTATGATCAAATTGCATTATATGCTATCGTGTGATGATGTGAACATACATGCAAGTGTAATATGACATTTTAAACATACTACAATGGCCTATGGCCTTATTACAATTCATTTACAAAATTTGACATGCCAAGCCTCCAAGTTAGAAAAATTATATTTCATAGGCAAAACTCAAGCATGCTAACACTTGCATGTGAACAAGAATGCATTTAAAGAAACCTCAAATCTACAAATCACCTAAGGCAAGTGCAAATCTCCAGATTTTGAATCCTGTACCTGAAATTAACCCCGGTAACTTTGGGGTGAGTAACATAAAGCTACTCGTAGGAGATGAGCATGCAAAGACGTAGCGTTTTACAAGATTATTACATTAATGCAAAACAATTCAAAAGGTTATGCCACCTAACGTCTATGTCAAAGGTGAGACTCAGGGAGCATCCTAAGCTACCTTAGATTATTTCTAGCATAAATCACATCATTCATGCAATTTAAATAACATAGACGCATGTTATACAAGGCAACGAGATATAGATTCTCATAGTTATTAACTTAAAATCTAAAATGCGAAAACAATTAAAGTGGGTCATGCCACCTAACGTCTATGTTCCAAATGAATCTATAGGATCATTCCTAAGCTACATTTGAACATTAAAAGCATAAATGTACTACAAAACATTAATAACATGCGATGATTTCTTACAAATCATAATGCATAAATGCACTTAACAATATTAAAAGCATGAGATGATTCCTTACAAATCATAATGTATAAATGTACTTAACAATATTAAAAGCATGCGATGATTCCTTACAAATCATAATGCATAAATGTACTTAACATTAAAAGCCTGCGATGATTCTTTACAAATCATAATGCAAAAATGTACTTAACAACATTAAATCATTGATAACTAAAACCATAAGTCACAATTAAACATTGGTTGTCAACTTGGAATTGAATGTGAAATCAAATAGTGGGAGACTTGGACATCAAATCTTGGTTAAAGCTAAGAACTACAGTTATTCCGGGTATTAACCCATTGGAATACCACCCTAGTGCGCACTATAAAATAGGGAGAACTCATACCTCCTGTACTAGAGTCAAACTCTAGCCATATCTCTGTAACAATGTCCCAAGTGGCTCTAAAATAAATAAGTTAACAACTTAAATATGAAATATATAAAGTACGAAACTACATTCCATGCACGAGTAGATTGAAACCACACAATACATGCTCTAACTTCACAACTACTATGGGATGACAATGTTGAATCTTCAGAGTGCAATTTGTTACACGTTATAATAACATCACATGTCGAATCTTTAGTGTGCGATTCGTTACACACTATAACAATATCATTCAATATTGAAAACATAAACTGAAGAATCTAATACAAGTCCAAAATTATGATTTAACCATATAACCAATGTCAAACACATGGTTAAATCATTAATGCAATAGAAACAGAAATTAATTAAATAAACTAATTAATTTCTCTATATTTCAAATCTCAATTAAATGATCCCTAATTAATACATATTAAACAACACAACATGGTCATTACATATATTCATTCAAAATCTTAATTAGGCCAACGGAACAACAAGGTAGAATTTAATTAAATCATGATAATTAAATCTCTAAATTCTAAAATAACTCTAGATGGTCCCAAACTAATATATGCTAGTATACAAGTCCTAGTCATCACAAATATTAAGTTAAAAACTCAATTAAGCCA